TGGGTTTGTAAAGGCTAAGATCTTGAAATTCACCAAATGAAAGGTCTACATTCGTTTTTAGAGGGGACTCATTTTGACCATAACTAGGATTCAAATTGAAATTTTTTTTTTTGGGATTGATTATTGAGATGATGAGAGTGTGTATGCAAAATTTTGGTTCATACAAATACTATAAACATGGTTTTCCTAGAAGTGTCGTTGCATTAAACTATGATATAACCGTTGCATGAAATCACTGCTTTAACTTTAATTCTTAGAATATAGTCAACAAATCCTATATCTTTTATCTCAGACTTAAAGGACAACCACATCTTACATTCCTCAATGGCTTTTCCATCATTTTCCATTATGATCACATCATCTACATACAAGACCAAAATTAAATGAATACCTCGATGCCTTTAGTGTATACACAATAATCTGCGGTGATATTCTTAATCCATATTCTCTAAGCGTATGTGAGAATATGAAATATTATTGTCTAGAAGATTGTTTTAAACTATATAATGATTTAGTTAATTAATTTGTATACTTTATTTTCTTGACCTTCGCATACAAAACTTTCATATTGAGTCATGTACGTTTCTTTTAATTCAACTTTTAGAAAGGCAGTTTTAACATCCATTCGATGAATCTCAAAATCTTTAATGATTAGCTATGGCTAATATTATTCTAATAGGAAATTTTTTGGCTATAGGTGATAAAGTTTCTTTGTAGCCAATGCCTTCCTTTTGACCAAAGCCCTTAACCACCAACCTTGCTTTATATCTATTACCACTTCCATCAGAATTAAGCTTCTTTGAATATACCCATTTACAACCAATTGCCTTTCTATTTGTAGGTAATTCTGCTAGTACTCATGTTTTATTATATATTAAGGACTCATATTCAATCCTCATAGCCTCCATCCAACTTGTTGCTTCAGGTGAACTAATAGCTTCTTTAAAATTACATGGTGCTTCATTAACTTCAATTATAGTATACATAATCATCTAAATAACTTGGTCTTTAGTTCTCCCTAGTACTTCTTCTAAGCTCAAATAATTCAGTGTCATCAATTCGAGAAGAGCTTCCTACATCAATTATGTTAGGATTTCTTCTAAGCTCAAATAATTCAGTGTCATCAATTTGAGAAGAGCTTCCTACATCAATTATGTTAGGATTTTGTAGTTCTTCCCCACGTTGTTTTAAAATTCTAGCTTGTTTTACCTTTGATGCTCCAACATTTTCAAAGAAGTAAGCATCTCTACTCTCCACAATTTCTTTAGTCTATATCCCTTAGAGTCACTTGAGTACCCTACAAATATGCACTTTATAATTTTGGTTCCTAGCTTATCCCTCTTTTCACGGGGAATATGAACATGTGCCATAGAGCCCCATACCTTGATATGGTCTAGATTGGGTTTCCTGCCAAACTATAACTCAAAGGGTGTTACATAAGTTGATTTATATGTTGCCGTCATGATAGCTTCTCCCCAAATATGATATTCTGCACTAGCTTCTTGAATTATACGATTAACCATATCAATTAAAGCCTTATTTTTTTTCTTGGCCATTCCATTTTGTTGAGGGGTGTAAGGGAAAGAAGTTTGCCTAACTATTCCATTGTTATTACAAAACTCACTAAATTTGTTGGATCTATATCCTCCTCCTCTATCAGTTCTGAGAATTTTGATTTTAGTATTTAATTGGTTTTCAACTTCTAATTTATACCTTTTAAATTTATCTAGTGCTTCATCTTTATGAGAAATTAAGTAAGTATAAGGGTATCTAGAATAATCATCTACAAAAGTAATGAAATACTCACTTTCACTTATACTTCCACATATATCGGTATGAACAATGTCGAGAAGATTTTGAGTACTTTTACCTTTAGGAAATGATTTTTTATGCATTTTTCCTTTTAGACAAGTTTTACATTTGAACGTTTCCTTTTCTAGATAACGAAAAACATTTTGTTTCATTAATTTACTTAAATTTTCATAATCAATATGATCAAGCCTTTTATGCCAAATATTAAAATACTCATCATAAGCAAATGACATGTCCATTCCATTATCAATATTAAGTTTATACATGTTGCCAATCATTGTGGCCTTTACAACGAAATCACCATTTTTCTTGATAATCATTTTTTCCATCCCTTATATAAAATTCACCTCCACCCCTATCAATCCTAGAGGGAGAAATTAAATTCTTTCTCATATGTAGAGCATACAAAACATCATTTAGCATCAAATTGCTTAATTATCATTTCTTCAAGAATGTTAATGCTAGACGAGTTGCCCATAAACATTTTCTCAACACCATCACTCTTTTATTTGAACTTCACCATATTGTTTTTGGTGTTAGAAATGTGCCTGTAGCTTCAGAGTCTACCCACCATTCGTCGAGGGAGCTCACCATCAATGACTCTTTAACCACAAATGAGAAGTCTTTGGAGCCACTACTTTG